CCCCTAAGGCAGGCCGGAATTTGAGCCACATTTCTTACCAGTACGAAGAGTAGTGCTCCTAAGTTGGTTCCTGTGCCTCAGTGGGTTCCACTGTGCATCCAAAACCCTTGCCCCAACTCACTGGGAGGACAAATCCCTTCTCCAGATCAAGCTGTCCATTGGTGCCTGGTGGGATCTCCTCCCAGCAGTCCAGAGGATGCACCCTGGTGATAACACATTGTCTCCTGTAATCCCGGCAAGCCCCCACGTAATGTTGTGGGAAATTATGAGCTGAGATATGAGTCTCTGAGGCAGATTAGCAGGAAGCAACGTTTATTGTGCCGGCACAGACCCAGTGAACTTGTGTCCAAAGGCTGAGCCCCAAGAACAAAGGGGTCTCACCTTATGTACCCTTGCAAGCAGATTACAGAAGCAAAAAGCAAAACTCAACCCACATATGGCTGCATGTGACTTTACTGGCTATTTCATTTCCCCAGTGCTATGTGACCTTCATGCTTCAATTCTTTAAGTTTTATCTCTCTGCTTTGCATCCCTCTCCCATCTCATTGTCAGAACACAGCCTGTCTGTTTCTTTTCTGGCCTCCCCTTTCTTGCTACAGTTCAGTTCAGATGCACACCATCTCCTAACTAACTTGTTCCTGATTCATGGAGAGGAGAGGAGTGTTGGACTGGAGATGAAGCTTCATCCAATGGCATGCTGGTAAATATTTACCAACTGGCTCCTGAGAAAAGGCCCTGACTTGTAGCATTTGTCACTTTCCATGGTGTAAATCCCACCATGGGTGATTACAAGCTGCCAGCACTCACTAAATGCAGAGCTGGGAAGAGGTGTCCACAATCTGCTCTGATGAGTCTGACAGCCACTACACACTACTGGGTGCATGAATGATGGAGTCAGGGAGTCAGATGTTCACCTCTGGCCAATCAGTGGTGGCGAGAATGGGATCATGTGACACAAATATGACTGTCAGACTCCATTTTTTTCTAACATAGCAGGGTGCACCTTTCTGACATAGTGGGCTGCAGGAGGTCAATTTCAGAGAAAGAAGAGAGGCTTTTGAGATTACTAAAAACATGCAGTTGCTGTGCTACACACATCCATTCCCCATTCTAATGGTAACACACTGCGATGGTTTGAATATGAATCTTCCTCAGGCTCTGACTTCATCAATGGATTAATCCCTTGATGGGTTCCTAATTTGATGGCATTGTTTGATGGGAAATGGTGGGAAATGGGGCCTGGTTGGAGGAAGTAGGTGCCTGGGAGCACGCTTTTGAAGGGAATCTTGTCTTTGGTTTCTTCTTCTGTCTCTATCTCTGCTTCCTGGCTGCCATGAAGCACCCTTCAGCCATGGTGCTCCACCTTACATCAGGACCAGAAACAATAGATTCAGCCAAACATAAACTGCAGCCTCTGAAACCAAGAGCCAAAACAAACCTTTGAACTGTTTTTCTCGGGCATTTGTCAAAGCAATGAAAAGTCTTAACAGAAAATTGGCACCAAAGAAGTGGTGTGGTTGCTGCGACTACTGGCCGAGTGTCTTTGGAACTGGTTTGTAAAAAGAATTTGGAAAGGTTTGGAGAAATGGGCTAGAAAAAGCCGAGAATGCTGTAAGTCGAGCTTAGCGTGCAATTCTGATGGGTCCGCAGAAGAAGCATTGCCCCTGGGAACTTGGACCACGAAGACTGTGCTCACGAAGTTTCAGGTGGGAAGGAGGACTCTACCGGAAAGTGCACTAGAGGCCACGTGTGGGACATTCTGGCAAAGAACTTGTCTACATTTTGTCTGTGTTTTGAGATTTTGCTGAAGACTGAATTTAAAGGTGATGAACTAACTACTTAGACAGGAAATCTCAAGGCAGCCCAGCAGTCAGGCATGGTTATTGCTGGCTGCTTTTAGCAATATTTATAGTGAGAATTGGGAGTAAAAAGCAAAACAGAAAGATTTGGGAAATGTGTAGTTTGGCCAAAAAATAAGTTTGTGTAAAGTTGGGTCCAAGAAAAGTGTTAAAGAGATTAGGGCCATTAAAAGGAAACCAAGTCCTATTGGAATGGGACAATAGGAAAGATGCCTTTCTTGAGGGCATCTCAAGAATCAGCACGACTTCCACGCATCTCAGGTTCGAGGGTGCAAAGGTGCAAATTCATTTTAAAGACTTTGCTTTGAGAAAAGAGTCAGAGCACCCTGCTGGCACAGAGCCATCTAGGAATGTGTTTCCTTGGATTCAGCTAGCCAGGTACTCAGGGACCATTGCAGCTATGGTCCAAGGAGGCCCAGCTACTGATTGAGCTGGCAGCAGACCTTGGTTCATCTACATGATGCTTGTTTGGCAGGCATACAAAATACAAAAGTTACAGGGTCACAGAGGCTTCCACAGGGGTTTCCAAGGGAAGCCTGGGAGGCCAAAATGTGTAGCAGAGTTGGAGTCCCTGCAGGCAGCCTCTGAGAGGGTGATGGGAGAAGCTGACAGTGAAGTCAAAATGCAATGGAGACACCAGGAAGTTAGAGATGTGAGGAACATGGAACGTCTACCAAGTAAAGCTGTAAGCAGGGAGAACTGGTCCAGGAGAGAGGACGTGTGACCTTCAGTCAGCAAGGCCATGGGGGCAGTGATGTTCAAGCCCTTTGGCACTCTCTGGGAGTCACCGTGTGCTCAAGATGCTGGACACAGAGCTATAGGAATCATTGTTTCCCTTGCTGAGTTTTTGTCTTGCTTTTATCTGACCCTTCCTTACTGTTTATTCTCCTGTTCCTTTCTTTTGGAATGGGAATATTTGCTTGCTGCCATTGGATCTTGGAAGAATTTAACTTTTTTTTTTTTTATTTTCAGGGGAGCTCAAGAGTTTTCCTTGGATCACAGACTCTGGTCTTAACTTTTGAACAATGTTGTAACTGTTGAGACTTTGATGACTCTTAGGGATAGCCTACTTGCATTTTGCTTTATGAGATAGACACAATCTTTGAGGGCTGGAGCACAATGGTTTGACCATAAAATGTCCCCTACAGGCTCACATATTGAAGATTGGTCGCCAGCCTGTGACACTGTTTTGGGAGGTGGTAGAAACTTTAGGAAGTGGATCCTAGCTGGAAGATGCAGTTAATAGGAGCATGACTTTGAAGGGCGTATCTTGTCCCTTCTTCTGTGTTTCCTGACCATCGTGAGCAGCCTCTACCTCATGCTCCTGCCACCTTGATGCTCAGTCTGGGCTCAGGACTAAAGTGACAGGACCCAGAGACCATGGACTGAAACCTCTGAAATCATGAACCCAAACAAATCATTCCTTCTTTAGATTGTTTCTCTCAAGCATTTGTCACAGCAACAAAGTCTGACTAACACACACACTGATTCCTTTTGGGGAGAAGTACTTCAGATGGGGGCTTTATTCTCTGCTTTGGGCATAGAGTATGGGCCCTAGACCCAAGACAAACTAATCAGAACGAGGAAGACCCAAAGAGACTTTTTCTAGAGCTTCTGGCAAGACAGGGGATAGCTGCTGGAAACCTTGGGGCTAAGGCTGGAGGTGATCCAGAATAGTACGAAGGGACAACTGGAGACATGTCCTTTGAGCTCTGAAACTGGCCAGACCACTGAACCATTGCACAACTCAATAAGGCCTCATTCAAATTGGACTTCTATCACCGAATACAAGCCTTGGCACCTGAGGACCTTAAGGACTCCAAGGAATGAACTTCCAGTGAAAATCTCCATGGCTTTCACTCAGCTCATGGCTGAGTCCCTTCTGTCTGCCCCATGGGACCTCCACATCAGCCGGGATAAACGTGTGTTGGGGGCGGGGGACTAATGCCTGTGTTTCCCTCCTAGAAAATCAACTTTTTGACCCCCCCATGGGGAAAATGATGTAAAGCCAACTTCTTGGTCCTATTTCCCCTGTCCCCAAACACCAGAACAGTATTCACAATCAGGCACTTGTGCCAGACCCCCAGAAGGTGGGGTGCTCCTCAGGAAGCAGGGGTAGTGAGGCTCATTGGATCCACTGTACCTCCAAAGGCTTTGGAGCTAGACAAATCTGGAAAACATATGCATGCACCATGGTCCCGGGCAAAGCTGTTCTTGGTTTGTCAACCCTTTCACTGGGGCATTGTGAGGCCTTCAGCGAAAAGTACTCAGCTCTGTACCTGGAGCCAGGCTGGCTCACAGCAAGCAGCCATCTCCTTCCTTCCCAAGTATGGGGGAGGGGAGGGAGGGGCCACAGAAGGATGCCCCACCCGCTCTTGCACACAGCACAGCACAGCACACACCGCCACCGCGGGTGCAGGTACAGTTTATTCTTCACAACAGAGAAATACAAAGAACAGAGGCGTTGTAATCCCTTTGTTTCTTGCCCCCTTTTTAGTGTTTTTCCCCCACATTTGATTTTTTTTTTTGAATGCAAACTTCTCTTCTGAAGTGTCTGAGGGGCATCTGCCCTCACCTCCCTGCCACCAAGATGCAGACTGAGAAGCCAACAGACTTGTTTTCTCTTTTTTAATAAGGTAACTAGTTCTAAATATGGTGGCCTGGAGGTCCCATAGAAAAAAGCAAAGGGGTGTTAACAGTATTTTAACAGCGTATTTACAAGGTAGTAACATGCGGACGAAAAGCTACAATACTGAGTATCGGACGACGCAAGTCAAACAAAGGGGTGGGGTGGGGGCAGAGACCCCCGTGGGAAAAGAAACCCCAGGAAACGTTAAACTGGTAAATCAATGGCGAGTTAAGGCTTAAAAAGTGTATAAAAATAACACAGTTAATATTCAAAACGGAACTCCAGATACAGAATATATAGATGAGTTTCTGTCTAGTTTTCTTTTTTTCCCAGGGGGACGTAGAGGGACTTCTCCGGGCTCTGTACATGGTTCCTATATACATGGACACGCATGGCTTTCAGATTGGGGTGTGTCTGTGGGGGCTGGGGGCAGGGTCTGCTCCTGGGACCCTCCTCCCCGAGGATCCCTTCCCTGCAGAGGGGCCTGGGGCCTGGGCTGGGGATTCCCCTTCCATGGCTGGGAAGACAACCCCTCCCTGGGCACTGTCCCCATCTGGAGGAAATTCTGGAAGGGGTTCTAGTCCCAGGCCTGCTCCCTCCTCATCCCCCTGCCCACAGTCTGGGGTGGCGGGAGAGAGGTAGCCGATAGGTTTCCTGGCCAGCACCGAGGTAGACTGGGGTGGTCTTCAGGGCAGCAGGGAGGAGCCAGGTCTTACCCAGCTCCTCCAACACAACTTCCCTGGGCCCGCCACCCAGCCATCACTGCACCCTTTGGTCCTGTGATCTCCCGGCCCCTCTCCTCTTTCTGCCTCTTGAAGCCAGGACAGCCCTGGTAGTGGCTGCACGCTCTGCTCAGTGAAACCCAAGGCACAGCTTGGGCAATTCAACTGGGCACCTGGGGCACACCAGCTGATTCCTGCCCCTCCCACCTGGGAGTCCCCTTTGCAGTCCAGAACCCCAGGCCTGAGCCTTCCCTCAAGACCTGAGGCCATGGCCAGAGAAGGTCTCACGCTGCTCTCTGGTTCTCTGCATCCATCTGTCCAATTCTTTTAATTTCTCTGTCTAAGCAGCACCAACATCCTGGCCAATAAATATCTTTTTGTTATTTCAAAAAAAAAAATCTTAAAAAAACAAAAAACAGTGAAGCAAGTGAAGGGTGGGGAACAAAAAGAAAACCCAACAGACAGGTTCAAAGTGCTCTGAGATCGTCTTTGGATGCCACCAAAACAGTCCAAAATCTTGCAGGTGGCCTGGGCCGCCCAGGAGCAGGACCAGGCAGAGCTTCCGTGGACCAAGCCTTCTGGTAGGTTGGGAAAGTCGTGAGAGAGCTTGGTGGTTCCTGTAGGGCCCAAGTGGGAATCAGGCCGAGTGCTGCCTGGGTCTGTCTGCCAGTGGGCTGGGCCGGCCAGGTGGTGCAGCAGGTGGGCTCAGATGAGAGAGATTCGCACGGGGATGCCAGGAGACTCCGTCCTCTGGGGTGAGTGATGGCTCACCAGGTGCTCCACCACCGTGTGTTTGGACATATGCTTCATCAGGTAGGTCTCCTGTGGACAGGGGTGAGATGCAGAAACCTGTCACCCACCACTGGCAAGGAAGCAGGGAAGCTGTAGGTCCCAGAGTGGCCACTGGAGGGCTCTGGCAGGTGGGCCAGCTGTTGCAGCTGGTGGCAGCAGCTGCAGCTTTGCCACTCAGCTGTTCCCCCCTACAACCCCCCCACCCACTCCCGGCCTGGATTCTAGGGTTACAGCACTGCAGCCATGGAGAGTGCTGGCTGCCTTCCAAGAGCCCGAGTCTGAAGAATGCTGGCTGGTGGGCTAGCATTCGACCTGTTAGCCTACCTGTGACTCCCCAGGACCAGGCTAACAGCCCTTTACCAAGTGCTATATAGGGCTTTACCAAGTGTCCAGACTGGCTCCCTACATCTGGTTGGTATTTCCAGTGAGGGAAAGACAGGGGCCTGGGTTTGAGCCTAGTTTTGCCATTTCTTAGCAGTGGGACCTTGAACAAGTCATCGCACCCCTCCATGCCTGTTATTACCTCCTGTTCAACAGGGATGGGGCTGCTGCAGTGATATGGATAAAGCCCTCTGCATGCAGTGAGCGTTGAAGGGACCACTCCTTCCCCAGTCTCTACATTTCATTCCAGGTGGTGGCGAAGTCCTGACCTCTGCACTCCCTCACTTGATCCTCGTCAGGGGTAAAGCCAGGCTGGAGTCCCCTACTGCTCTGCTAAGTCTACCTTAAGGCAGCATAAATGGATGTTCGAGTTCCCAGGCCTTACACTAAGCCCCATCCTACACTAGCTCTGGCCAGTAATAAGGCATTACTCTGGGGCCCTGGCAGCCACTTCTGGGCCTCATACTTCAAGACGCTCAGAGTTGGACAGAGGAAACCCTCAAATGTGGCAAGGTGCCAGAGGAAGCAATCGGCAACATCCAAGCACAGCTATGCTTCAGTGAGCGCATTGGGGTATAGACATAAAGATATACTGACCCAGTAATATGCAGGATTCTTATTTGGGTCTTAAGATACAGTGCTATAAAAAAAATATGGCATTCAAGAAACAAATGAGCAGGGTGCTGGGGCTCACACCTGTACTCCTAGCTACTTGGGAGGCTGAGATCAAGAGGACTGTGGTTTAAGGCCAGCTGGGCAAAGTAGTTCATGAGACCTCATCTCTAAAATAACCAGAGCAAAATGGACTGGAGGTATGGTTTAAGCACTTGCTTTGCAAGCATGAAGGCCTGAGTTCAAAACCTCACTTTCACCAAAAAAAAAAAAAAAAGAAAGAAAAAAAAGGCTAGATGTTTGATGATAAGGACTTTGGTTAATTAATTTAAGGTATTATAAAGGTATTATAGATGTGTTCAAAAAAGGAGTCCTTATCTTTAAAGACATGAAGTATTTACAAATGCCCTAATAGAAGATCTAGGTTTTACTTCAAACAGAAGGGGTATGGGTTTGCTGACAGTGAAGAGGCTTGTCAAGAGCTTGGGGTATGGGGCAAGGCAGGGATGGATTGAAGATCAGCAGCTGAGTGGGGCTGCCCCAGCTGCTTGGGGCCCTTGTCCTGCAGGTCTGTGCTCTCAGTCTCTCAACTATCCTCTGCCCCTCAGACTCCAGGGAAAGGTAAATGTCGCACACAGCACTTGGCAAGTGGCAGCACTAGCTGGCATCTGAAAATGCTGCCTACAACCCTGCTAAAATCCACTTGCCCTTCCAGCCAGTGACACTCGGAAAAGCATCCAGACTCCTGAGCAGGGCCCCAGAGCCCATGAGACCTAGTTTTCCCTCACTTCCTGCTACACACATTTGTTCCACTCTCATGCTTGCACTCACTGCTCCCTACCTGGAGGCCCACGCATCTCTTTCTCCCCCTCATTTAATTGTCCTTTAAGGCTTACACCAGAATGCCCTGTTATACTTTGGATCTGGAATGTTGCCCAAAGGACCATCTGTTAAAGGTTAGGTCCCCAGCCCACGGCACTGTTAGAAGGTGGTGGGACCTTTAGAGGCTCAGTGGAAGGAAGTTAGGTTATTGGGAGTGTACCTTTGAAGGGGAATATTGGGACCCTGGCCCTTCCTCTTCCTCTTTTGCTTCTGGCCACTATAAAGTGAGCAGCTTGCTACACCACCTGGTCCCACCAGGATGTGCTGCCTCACCACAGGCTCAAAAGCAACAGAGCCAACTGACCATGGGCTAAAACCTCCAAAACTGTGAGAAAAAGAAACCATTCCTCTTTTTAATAAGCAGAAAGCTGCTTAGCACATGTTCCTTCTTTATATGACCTTCTCTAGATCCTTCCCAACTCCACTTTGTGCTCCTTGTTGCTGTTTCTTAAAGCTTAATTTTCCTTTAGAGGAGTGGCTGTTAATCAGAGATGATTTTGCTGCCCAAGGGACACCTGGCAGTATTTGGTGGTCTCAACTTGGGGAGGGTGTTGCCACTGGCACCTAGTGGATAGAGGATAGACGCTGTGTAACACTGTACTAGACACAAGACGGTACCCTATGACAAAAAGACACCCTGCCCAATGTCAGTGAGGACTAAAGTTTGAGAAACTCTGTTTGGAGCAGGGATCACATCTGCCACTAACGTTTATGTGTGCCATTACTTGTTTGATGTCTGTCTCCAACAGTATATTTAAACCTCCCAGGGGCAGGGAGGTATCCCTGGTTGTATCTCCTAATTCCTGAGTACCAGCACGGTGGTCAGTAGACACAGATGGAATAAGCCATTGTTCTGGCTAAGGTTTATTCAGCATAAACCCTATGAGTTCATCCATTTGACAAATGAGGAAATGGAGGCACGGTGGTCTCTCTGATGGAATTTTCCCACCCAGGGATGGGGGCTGGATGTTATGGATAACCTAATCTGGTGCTGCTCAGGCCTTCCCTGAGAGGAGGGTGGCTCTGGGCCACATAACTGTGCGCCCTGTGACAGTGATGGGAATCACAGCTGTCCCACCACAGAAAGGCCCTCCTCTCTCCTGGGCTCTGGAGCAGTGCCAGGTCAACCTGTCTGGAGGATCCTAGGCCCTAGGATCCTAGGCTAAAGGAGGTTGGGAGCTTGGCAGTCAAACATGGAAGCAGGCAGCTGAGCACTCACTCTGCCTGAGATCTTGGGGAGTCACCACTCACTCCCTCTGTCGGCCTCAGTTTCTCTGCCTGGAAAGCCAGCGTCAGTACATGCACTCACCGAGGTGTAGGCCCGCCCACACATGCTGCAGCAGTATGCCTTGGCATGCTTGATGGCATGAGCTGAGAGGTGGATCTGCAGAGAGGCGGAGTCCGAGTAGGCCCGGTAGCAGTTGGGACACTTGTAGGGCTTGTCCTTGTTGTGCTGGCGTTGGTGAGACTGTAGGAAGCACAGCGGGGGTCACAAGGCAGCCCCACCCCCTCTCATGCTCCCTGTGGGTGGAGGCAGGCAGGCACTCACTCACCTGGAGGTTGGAGAGCTGAGTGAAAGCCTTCTCACAGCCAGGATGTGGGCACTTGTAGGGTCTGTCTCCTGTGTGGATTCTGCAACAGCAGCCCAATGAGGTGGTGTCCCTCACACATACCCCCAGAATGTTCTAGGCCCTTCTAGGCCCTTGGCCGGCCTGGGCCACACTTCTGCCTGCAAGCCCTTCTGTCCCCTCCCACCCTTCCCAGTGCCCAAGAGTGAGCCCCAAGCAAGCTGGGGACTCCAAAGGCTACCACCTCTCCTTCCTTCTCTGGCCTCCTCTACCAGTCTAACAAGACCCTGTCTGTCCTCCACTGCTGCACCCAACCCCCACCAGCACCTATCCAAAGACCCTGCTCAGGCCTCACTCCCAACAGAGTTTGCTGCATTCTGCCCTCTTTTCTAACCCTCACCCTGCAGAGCCCCACTGAAAAGAGCACCATCCAGGCCTCCGTGCCACATGCCTCCTGCCTAAGGAGACGGCTCCCTTGACTCGGCCCCCGTCTGCGGTCTCCTCTCACGTCAGGCACATGTCCATGATGGTGACTTGGTTGTCTCAGAGACTAAGAGAGTGAAGGTTAGTGTGGCCCTGAAGCTCAGCCCCTCTGTGTCCCTGACGAAAGCTTCTTCTGCTCCCCCATTCCTGGGTCTCATTCTAGAGCTACTATCTATAACTGGGTGACAAATCACTGATTCCTCATCTGTAAAATGGGTATAAAAATACAGTCCCTGCCTCACTGGGCTTCATGAAGGCTACATGTGAGGGGCTTGGCCCAGTGTCGGCACAGTCAGCACTGACAAACGTTTCCCGATATCATTACTCATCCATTCAGCATCTACTGCATCAGGACCTGTGTGACTGGTGCCATGCTAGGCACTTGGAATCAGTAAGCAAAACAGACAAAAACTACTGCTTGCTACAAATGAACTGAACGTGAAATACATAAGGAAAACACATGCAGACGGTAGTGAGTACTATGGGAAGAAAGAAGGTGAGGGGGCCATGATGCCAGAGAAGGTGACAGGGCAGGCCCCATTGCAAAGGTGCCATTGGAGCAATGACTGGAAGGCTGATGATTGCTAGTGCCATCATCCTAGGCTCCAACAGCCCAGGTGGGGACAGAGCAAGGGCATCTGTAAGTAGAGCTCAGAAACCTGACACACAGAGCTGGTGGCCTTCCCTGCACTCCACACTCAGGCCTTTGGGCTAGGTCCTCAGCTTCTCTAAGTGACCTGTCCTGGCAAATCCTCTGTGCCGAGCAGGTGGGCAATGAAATGGCAGCTGGGCCTGAACCTTGGCTGCCCAGTTTGCTGATGAGCATTATTAAGAAGAGGGACATCCAGAACCAGCCAACCTGTGTCCTCTCCTGCCCTCCCATGCCTCCCCCATTTTACCTGCAGATGGGGCTTGTTCTGCCCATCAACCAACTCATCTAAAACTACAGCCCCTCAGCCAAGCCCAGTGCTGATGTAGGAACACAGGCTCTTTGCTCAAAGAGCGCACAGCACTGGCTGCTGTTGTAAACATGGACAGAGTCAAATTCCTCTGTGTGCCATTCCAGTCCTTCATCCGGTAGCCTAGCCTCACCTCCCTGCTCTTACACACTCTATGCCTGGCCCAGAACTATTTCCCATGTGGCAACCACACTCGAGGATTCTCCCAATCACTGTGCCCCAGCTGTGCCCTTCCTCTGTCTACCCCAAATCAACTTATCCTTCCTGGTCATCAAAGAACCGAGCTCTGAGGAGCCTCCAGGCATCCCAAACCTCTGTGCATCACAGCTCCTCCTCTAGATTCTAGGCTCCACTGTCTATCTCCTCTACTAGATGGGGATTGCCCAGGGCAGGGGCAGGGGTGAGACCCTGGGGTCAGCCACAGACTACCTAGACCTGCTGAGTGGAGCTGACCTGATCCCGAGAGCCCCATCCATCTGCACGCGTGGGGACATCACCCCAGGTCCCTGCTCGGTTTCTGCAATGGAAGAGCCTAAAGGTCCCTTGGCCCAGCTCTTACTCATGCCAGCATCTCCTCCACTTCAGTCCATCCTGTCCCTCTCCAGACTGGGGGACTCATATAGTTGGGAGCAGGACATGCACTGCTTTTGTTTTAAATTCCACACCACCTCCCTCCCACAGTCCTCTCTTCCTACGGTGCTCAAGCCCCTCCTCCGGCCCGCTGAGCCCAGCCCCTCTGGCATCCCACCAGCAACTCTGGCATTCTGAGCTCTTCTCCACTACTAGCCCTCTGTCCAGACTGGGCCCGCCACCAGGCACACAGTTTCCCAGCTAACACCTGTTCTCCCTTTCCCAGTCAGCCTTCCCTGACACCCAGACTAGGTTAGAGCCCTGCAGCCCATCCTCAAGTGCCATATTCTTGCCCAGCAGTCGGCACAGGTGTTTATTCTGCCAGTGTTTGGTCACTGCTGACTCCTTGAGCAAGAGCTCCTTTGGGCTCATTCATCACCACCTCACTACTTCCTGCACAGGCACAGCACAGAAAGGCCTCAATAAATAGCTGCAGACTGCATAAAGAAAGTGAATTCTTCCTCTCTTAACATCAATCACATACTACAGAAATACAATACACATAGTCAACTTCCATTCCTGAGGTGTGTTTTATGAGTGTTCGTTGACTGACTTACCAACAGTCCTCCAGGGATTTCAGGTCCTTCCTCAGGACCCAGACAAGCTCTCTTGACCAGCACACCGCCCCCTCCCACCCAAGTGCACCAACTGTGCAGTCTCCTCCTGGGGCCTCAGCCTCATCGTCTCCCTGATAATTTCAGCTACAGCATCAGCCACGGGGGTCTAGCCTTGTAATGATACTGTCTTCTTCTCTTTCCAGAATAGCGTCCCAAGCCCTTGCCTCAACTTTCAAGGCCCTGTCCATTCTGCCCTTGGTTTCCAAAGGCTCTTCCTAGTCACTCTCTTCCAGCCTCACATCTCACTACCATCCCCCAGCAAGCCTCTGAGCCTTCACACATGCCATTCCCCCAACAGAAATGCCTCCTCCCTCTGACTGGGGAGGGCAATGGATTTCAACATGACCCAGATGACCTTCCCCAACCTCTGCTTCATTGTTCCCTCTCTCATGGGCATCCTCACATCCACTAGCCTCCCTATCATAGAGGGACTGGGCTGGTGCAGAAAGGACTTGAGGGAACCCTTGGATGAATGAAGAGCCAGGCTACCTGTTCCCACTGGCCACACAGCTCTCATCTTCAGTCCCAAATTTCAAATCAGGTCCAAGCCCTCAATTCCTCACATGAGAATCTGCTTTCCAGGGTGTCTTTCTAATAGAGGGGGCATCTGTGGTGATAGGAAGCTCACCCAGATCCTTTTTCTCCTGCAGCACAGGGAAACTAAGCTGAACTGGTGCCCCTGGACTGCTCCTCCACCCTCAGGGCCCCTTGGGGGCCCCCAAGACTCACTCTGTGCTGTTGCCCAGCACCTCCACCCCCACGCGAGCTTCTCCTGCCACCTATATCCCAGCCCTTACCCTCCTTTTCCCCGACGCATGGGCTGCTCCTTGGTGCACCGTGCATGGATCCCACTTCCATCCCCACATGGCTGGGTGACCTTGGTCAAGTGACTTTGCCTTCTCAAGTCCCAATTTCCTTGTTTCTAAAATGGTGATAAAATCCAGGCACCTAAGGCTCAAGCTTATAATCTAGCTACCTGGGAGGCCAGATTGGAAGGATCACAGTTGAGGCCAGCCTGGGGAATAGTTTGCAAGACCCCATCTCAGAAAATAACCAGAGCAAAATGGACTAGAGGCATGGGTCGAGGGATAGAGTACCTGCTTTGCAAGTTCAAACCCCAGTCCCACCCAAAAAATAAATAAAAATAAAATGGGGATAGCAATAAAGATTGTAAGGAGTCTAAGGACTAAATGACTTTATATAAAGGGTGTTCATAAAATCTTTCATAGTTAAACACATAAGTTTCTATTTAAGATAAATGATTTAATGTAGACTAAAAGAGGGAATTTATTCAATGTTTAAATGAAATTATTAAGAGACTCATTAGACAGGATAAAGTTATTACTCTCATTATCATTTTAACAATAATAAACTCCAGGTTCCCTTTTCTTCTACTTCTCAGGTCTTTACTCCACTACCGAATGGCTTCAGGCATCTTTCTAACTAAACCAATGGCAGACATAGTGAAAGTTAACATTCATCGAGATGATTCCTCTCTGCGGCATTTTCCAAATTCATAACCTTAGGAAGAAACAACTTCACACGCGTAAGGACTCACGGACACCTTGCATAGTGCAGCACCTTAATGGGGAAGGCACACATGAGTACTTTGATAAGGAGTCATTATTATTATCAGACTCCAGAAAACAAAACAACACTGTTCTCTGCTGCTGTTATCATTATACATGTACATAACATCATACAGTCAGGAAAAGAAACAAACACAAAACACACTTTGTACCCTGAATAAACAAACAAATGCAGAGTCACTCTGTCTGGCACTAGGTTCCACAAATAGATACAACTACAAGTCCTTTCCTATAATTTTCTAACCCTGTCCTGAAACAATTTTATCCCTGACGTTCACATCATATCTGTAGACATGTGATGACTCTTATACACATGCTAATCGCCTGAGACAACTGCTGGTTTCCCACCACAGGTAGGCTATAATAGAGAATGGTTTGTTTATTCTCTGTATAAATCATATGGTATTTGTCATTTAGAGGGATGCCCTTCTGAAGTCTGGACTTGTGCAACACTTTGCAAGTCACCTACTTTTCTCTGCATGTGCCTTCCTTGCACAAAGCAGGTCCCCCTAGATGTTTGGGGTTCACCACTAACCTATATCCTCCATCAGTGTTCACAGGCACAGGGTTCTTGCCTCCAAGGCAGATCCTGCTCCGCCTTTTTCTAACTCTATTACTTGACCAGGGCTGGCTCTGCTTTGGACTTAACTTGACCTTCTTTCAGCCCCTTCACTAGTGGCAGTAGCCTTGGGAAGATGATTTGATTAATTACAGGATCTAATTGTCTGTTTCTCTGCTAAGGAATAGAAAAACATGACAGGGTCTGTGCCAAATAGCAAAGAACAGGAATCTGGTTGCTTTCTTAGGTTTGGCTTTTTTATTTGTTTGTCCAAAGGATCCTGTGAATTAGGGGCATTTGGGCCACTCAGCTCTTTGGCACTAGGTTAGGACACATTGCTGTAATTGTATGTGCCAGGGCCTAGTGACTTATAAATTATCTTCCAAATGTTGATCGAATCCTCTCATGTTGTTTGGTTGACTGCCATTAGGAACTTAAGTCACGAAAGAGAGAGAGAGAGAGAGAGAGAGAGAGAGAGAGAGAGAGAGAGACAGAGAGAGAATATGAGAGAGAAAGAGAAAATGAGAGGGGGAGGAGGGATGAGAATTATCCCGCAAGATTCATGAGTCTCCGCTCTAGAGCAGCCAACTTGGCAAAGAGGAGTGCTAACCCAGGTCAGGGAGCAGGATTGGGTGAAACTGATTTCACTGTGGCTAATTTCCATTTTCTAAAGAGCATATGAGAAAACCTGTTTTTTCCTTTGATAATCCTTAATTTAGGAAGCTATATTTAACAAAGTGGTATAGTAAACTCCTTCAACAGTGACTTGTTCCAACTAATCCTTCAGAATTCATGGTGGGGAGGCTATAAAAATTTAACATAGATATGCACTAATACATTATTAAGGAAATTGAAAAAATAATTCTATTGAAAACAACATATATAATTGGCCTCGTCTATAAAGAATAATTACTAAAAAATACTCAAAGAGCCTTTAGTGAGATTCTTTTCACAATCATTAGTTCTGTAAATATGTTCAATATGAATCTTTCTTCCTTTCTAACTAGATATAATTGGGTAAATCAAGTTTGTAACCATGACCATGCCAGACATGTCACACTTAAAGACAAATCTCATTTAATTACGAATGACAAGTCTGATAGGATGGCGCTTCAAATGTGAGGATGGGGCCTCCCCAGGCCTCTGGCAAACAACTGCACCTGTTCCATGTCTGTAGAATCCCAGCCTTAAAAATTTACCTTGAAAATTACCCAAAGGTAATTTTTTAAAAAAAAAATTAATTCCTCTCTTCCAGGAGCATTGGCAAACCTGAGGATTCTCCAAAAAAGGGTACTCTGTTGCCACATCTGGCAGAGGTTAATTAGATGGTTCTAAGTTCCTGATCCCTGATAATATATATATATATATATATATATAATTACACACACACACAAGCAATTAAAATTCTGACCCAAGCCAAGCACGGTGGCTCACGCCTGCAATCCTAGCTACTCAGGAGGCAGAGATCAGGAGGATCACAGTTTGAAGCTGCCTGGGCAAATAGTTCACATGCCCCTATCTTGAAAAAAAACCCAACACCAAAACAGGCTATTGGAGTGGCTCAAGGTGTAAGTCCTGAGTTCAAGTCCCAGCACTGCAAAAAATTAAAAAAATTCTGGCCCAGGGGCTTTACAAAGTCTCCTGACAGCAGTTTCACTGTGTAGCCTTTGTCTCAGGCTGCAATTCTAAAAACTATGCAATTAGGAGGACTTTGCTTATTAACCAATATCAAGTTACATACACCCATGTACACAGGGCTGGCCAAATTTTTAAAAATGACAATTACTGAAATTGCTAAAACAAACTACAGCCATGCCTTAGAAGGTATGGGAATGAGGAACTAGACTGACAGCTTGCCCTGCAGCCATTCTGTCATTCACTCTTACTACTAAACCTGCCTATTATGCCCCAAAGTCAAAGAAACAAACAAAGTAAAACATTTTGTATCTAGGACAAGGGCGCTAAAGACAATAGAGATAAATGAATAACTAATAACAATGCAAAACCAGGGTTCTCTGGTATAGTATGAGTGCTTCAGTAAGTTACAAATGTGACAGCAAAACAATTCTCTCAGCTGTGCAAGGTGGCTCACCTTCATAATCCCAGCTACTTTAGGAAGTGGAGATGGGGAGAACTGCATTTCAAGATCACCCAGGCAAAAAGTTAACAAGAACCCATCTCTATCAATAAAAAGCTTGATGCAATGAAGTGTGCCTATCATCCTAGCTATGTGGTCCAGCCTAGCCTGGGAAAAAACAATGTGAGACCCTTTCTGAAAAGTAACTTAAAAGCAAAAACCTGTTCTCTCCCTGACTTTGTCCACACTGATACTGGCAAACACACGAGCATGCATTCAGAGACGACAGTCATTGTGTGAACAAACTGCTTCCTCCCCTCTGAACAGATGAACTGCAACTGTGGACCCCTTTTCTTTTGCTTCTTTAAATACCTATGGTATATCTATTTGGTGGGAGAGTCTCTCTGATATGTATACTCTCTTGAACAAACTTTTCTTCCCTTAAAGCATTTATTTCTTTGAGTCTCCTTTTCACACATTCAGTTCAACTGTAAGCCTCATGAGGCAGGGGTTTTTGTCCATTTTGTTCCTGGCTGTATCCTAAGCACCTACAGCATTGTCTGGCATAGCGTAGGAGCTCTGTAAATATTTGTTAAGTGGATGAATAATATTCTCTATAGCAATTAGTTCTACTTATTCCACAAATACTTAACAAATGCTTAAATGCTCTTACGTGCCGCACACTGGGATTTAGAGGTGAAGGACAGCAAGCCCTCGCCTTCAAGAGCTCCCAGTATATCACGGGAAGTGGAAAATACACAGGTTAGTGCACAAGAGCCCACTGATGCTGTGGTGGGGATGCACAGGGCCTGTGGGAAGACAAGAGGCCAGGCCCCATACCAGCTGGGGGGACCAGTGGGGCTACCAAGAGGAAGCCGGATTGATGGCTAGGAGACGGCCAGGTGTCAGGAGAGGGTAGAGACACGACGTGTGCAAACACCTGGAGGTGAGAAGGGTGTAAGGTAGTGAAAGCTGAGGTTCGGGCAGTTTCATACATGGCCACCAAGGTCCACTAAAGGAATTTGGTCTTGACCCTGGGAGCAACAGGCACCTAGAGGACTCTGTCCTTCCTTGCAGCAGGTCCAGGCACTAGAACACAGGTGAGCTTGAGGGGCTGCCCTCGGGCAGTATCGGACAGGCTCCTACCTGGTGTGCTGCTGTAGGTGGGAGAGCTGTCGAAAGGACTTATCACAGTAGGAGCAGTGGTAGGGCTTGACGCCCAGGTGGATGCGCAGGTGCTGGGCCAGGTAGGAGGCGTTGGCAAAGGACTTCGAGCAGTGCGGGCACTTGTGGGGCTTGGCCTCTGTGTGCGACTTGGAGTGGATCTGCATCTCAGACTTGGTGAAAAAGGTCAGTGGGCATACCTTACACCTGTGGGATAAGAGGCAAGCTCATAGCCCTTGCGGAAAAAAATGCCCCCGACACCTGTTGTACATCTCTGAGGAGACCTTCTACATCAGAGTCACCCTGGACATGGGACAGATACTGCTTATGAAGAGCTAGGGAGCACAGGCCACCAGGAAAGATAGGGAGAAGGCTCTCGGCCCAGGCACTCTCTGGTCTGGAAGCTCTAACCTGAAGAGCAGGTCTACATTCGTAAGGAAGACAGGCCCAGGAGGCCAGTCCAGGGAGGGTTTGCTCGCCATGGCCATACCCATGGTCCTGGGGGAGGGGGCTTTCCCACACTACGTAGTCCCCACCCTGGCTGTAGGTTAAAATCCTCAGGGAGCTTCCTACAAGAACTGACACCTGATCCCCCATGCCCAAGTCTTAAAAAATTAACTCAGACTTTCGGGCCCTGGCAGCAGCATGTTTTGTAAGCTCTTTGGATGACTCTAACGTGACCAAGGCACTGCTTAAAAGGAGGAGGAAACAGACTCTCAACACTCAAGACTAGAAGGGGTGCTTCCAACCACAGACTACCAGTGAAGGAGCCAAGGCTCCATTTCCCTACCCTCCTCCTCCCTCGTGGTCCTGTACCCTCAGCCCCTGGGGTACCTCTTTTTAGCCTTGAGCATGAGTCTCCACCCCAAGTCCACCCAGACCCCATCCCAAGACGACCCTCACCTGTATGTCTTGCCCTCCTTGGCAGTCTCACCCGAGGCCAGGATGGGGTAGGGTACGACAAGGACAGGGGGACCCCCCGGGTTCTCTGCCTTAATCTTTTTGCGGCCGCGTTCAGACTTGGGAGGGCCAAGCAAGCCATGGCCCTGGATTGTCTTGATGGAGTCCAGGAGGGGGGGGCTGGTGATCCCTGAGATGAGGGTAGGGGACGAGGCGATGAGGCGGCTCTGGCTGGTGGTGGTAGGTGTGGATGGGGTGCTGGTACCCGTGCCGGTGCCGGTGCCAGTGCCGGTGCTTGACTCAGATGTACTCACAGCCGGAGTCCTGGAGGAGAGCCCCAGACCTGGGAAGACGCACAGATTAGAGGGGAGAGTGAGGAGAGCTACAGAGGCCTGCTCAGCCCGGACTGCCTGACTGTGTGACTCTTGGCAGGTCACCCTGCCTCTCTGAGCATCCTCTTCTCATGCTTAAATTATTACTCAGAGGTAACTAAATGAGAGCTCATGTGTGTGTAAAATGCCTTAGATAACTTAAGACTAAATTGCATTAAATAAAAGCAGCACTTTAGGGGCTAGGGTATAACTCAGTGGTAGAGCACTTGCCTGACATGCATGTGACCCTGGGTCCCATCTTTAACGTCACAAAAAATAAGAGGCACACAGAAGTAACTCCAGCTAGAGAAAAAAATCTGAGGCACAAAGATGTCCACTACTATTTATTTATAACAACACCTGAAATATGCAATAAAAGATGAAGATCAGACCTATTATGTGGGTCATTATATTAAAAGAGCAACAAAAAGTGTGCAGTGATGAACTGGGGTGTGACTCAAGTGATAAAGCACCTGCCTAGTAAGCACAAGGCCCCAAGTTCAAATCCCAGTATAAGAAAGAGAGAGAGAGAGAGACATAGAGGAGAGAAGGAAGAAGGAGAGAGGGAGGGAGGGAGGGAGGAAGGCAGGAAGGAAGGAAGGAAGGAAGGAAGGAAGGAAGGAAGGAAGGAAGGAAGAGGGAAGGGAAGGAAAATTAATCTGTGCATCGAGAAAGATAACACCCAGAACTGACACTAGTATGTTTTGTGTCACACACTGGTAACAGAAACGTACACTTGTGCAGCCTTCAGGGAGGGCAGTTTGGCAACAGCCATTAATATTTTAAATATAACATTTGACTAAGCAATTAACTCTACTTCTAGAAACCGACCAAAGAGAAATACTCGCACACGGGTGCAAATATCTGTGTGCAGAGCCCTCCATACAAAATTGTGATCGGACAAAACTGGACATAACCTGCTTGTCTCAGCAGGGGCTACGAAGCAGATGTGGGGCCTCCTCTCAACAGAGCACAGCACAGCCACCGCAACAAGATGGCTGGGATGCTATGACAGAAAGGCAGACACCATCATGGGCTGTGGGGTGAGAAAAGCAAACCACAGCCATTCTGAACCATCTATTCTAAAACACACCAACTACACACATTCACATGGACAAAGTCTGACCAGAGAAGATCAGAGAAAAGACATGCTAAACTGCTAACTGCCATTCTCTTTAGGGAGGGAGGGAGAATTTTTTGTTAACATGAGATTTTCATGCTTTGTCTATCCACTTCTATATTATTTGAATCTTTTACGTGGTGAATTCATCCATTTTTTAAACATCTGATTAAAGGATAAAATAAACTATAGAGAAAATATATAGGACTAAGGCTAATTTTTTTCTCCTTTTAGTTTGTCTGTAATTTCTAAATTTTCTATAACTAGGCTACTATCTTTTACAATAATAGGTGCAATAAATGTGTTTGTGATAGAATGGTAAGTAGGAAAAAAGCAAGTTAAGACATAGGTATGGCCCTCCCTGCCATGCAAGCTCAGTAAAACAAACATGCATATTAAAAAGCAAACAAAAAATATGGAAAAGGAAAGAAATGGATCAAAAGACTCACTAAGATTCTAGGCTAGGAACTGGAGAGTATGAGTGATTTTTTTTTCTTAGCTTTTTTTTTTTCAAATTTCCCTTAATATGCTTATATTACTTTTTTAATATTACTTTTATAATGAAAAAATACATTTAATAAGATTATAATAACAGAAGATGTGCAGAGTGCAGCTGGGGCCAGGCGAGCTCCCCAGGCCCCACAATTCTTGGGCGGCTTTAAGAGAAGGAGAGAGAAAGAGAGGGAAAGACTGAGAGAGAGGCACTTGGGTTGTGTGGTGGCAGAAGGGAGCCATAGTCACAGGAGGAACTGACCTGGCCACACTGGTCTGCTGAGAAAGCCCGCCCGCCAGGCTCTAAGGAGGGTATCAGAGAGCTCCAGCCCCGATGCCTCCACAGGATGTTCCCCAGCACCCCACCCTCAATCTAGCCAGGACTGAGCTCCTTGATCCCATCCTGGTGCTCCCCAAGTATCCCACATACCCTCTATCCCCTTGCCCCCTGCATCCTGTCCAGCTCCAGGCCTTTCTACTCTTCCATCTCACTGCACCTCAGATCCATCCACTTCTCCGTGTCCCCTGCAACTGCAAGGCCCACCCCACCACCCTTTCCTGAAGGTCTCCCTGTTTCCATGCTGGTACCCAAAACCCAGTCCCTACCTTGCAGCTACATTCAGCTTTCTAAAGTAAAACCTGAGCGATTCCCTCCCTTACTTAAAATCCTTCCATGGCTCTCTCCTACCCCAGGGTGAAGTCCCAACTGTTTGACGGGGCCCACAGGGCCTTTCATTACCTGGTGTCTGCTTCCTCTCAGCAGAATCAGATATAGAAACACTTAAGACCTAGACTCAGAACCACACGGTCTGCCCTGCCTCTTACTAGCCAAGAAACCTTGGTTTCATATAGCTTAATCTTTTTCTGCCTCAGTTTCCTCATCTGTTGAAAAGAGACATTAGAGTAAATCACATGAAACTGTTTTATTTGTAAATCAAAACAGTCCGTTGTTCCACCCGGTACTACAGCACCCACTTCACATGGCTTCTGGGAGTAATGAGTATTAATAACTCATGAGGGGCTAACTGGAGTCTGCTGCAATTATCACCACCGTCACCCATCCTCCTCTTCCTTCCTACAATACTCCCTTCACATGTGTGGTTCCCTCATCCTGCTCCAGTTCTCTAGTTTGTCATCAACCTTTCCTTGCATTTTTGTCTCCTCCAAGGAAGTCTCCCCCAAATCTGGATTCCCAGGTTTTCTAGGTTGATTTGGTTTTCTCAGTAACCCCTCCCCACCCACCACAGTGACCCACCCTGGTCCTGTCCATTGGAGAAAGGAAGTCCTCCTGATCCAGGATCCAAGGAGGTCTGAAGGCTGTGGCTAGTCCCATCAGCAACTAGCCAGGTCCTACCCTCATCCAGTCCCCACCTAGGCCAGCCCCCAGCCCGACTCCCCTTCTCTGCCCAGTCCTCATAAGCTCTTTTCCCAGGCCACGCCCCCTCTGCTGCCGCACGTCTCCACCCACTCTTGGCTCCGCCCACTCTGCTAGCCAGCTCCAGCCAACTACCTGTGACAGTGCTGGTGGCCGGTCGTGCATGCAGCGCCACGTCGGGCTGCGGCACGGACTGCGGGTGCAGCCCGGGCACCTGCTGCAGCTTGGGCAGCGACATGACAGCCTGGCTGCTCTCGGCGGGCGCCGGTGGCACTAGCAGAGGCTGCTGCGACGAGGCCGACGTGGGCGGCAGGTGAGGTGGCCGGATCTTCTCTGCCATCAGTTGTTCTTTGATCTTGTTAATCAGAACCAGGTTGTCCAGCTACAGAAGGGAGAGGAACTGGGCTGAGGGGGCTTGAGGCACACCTCGCCTCTCCCTGGGCCTCTGGTTCACCCACAAGCCACAAGTCCCTCGCTCCACAAGCCAGGAACCCCTGGTCCCTCAAACTACAAGCTTCTTTCCCCACAAGTCATGTCAAAACCCTGGCAAAGCAAAGTAGCTCCAATGGGGAAGCCAGCTAGAAGGACAATGAGGGTCTTACCTGGCTGGGCATGGTGGGAGGAGGGGGCCAGAAGTAGGGGTTGTTAAATCGAGGCTCAGCCATCCTGTGGGGAGAGAACGACTGTCACCTGGAAGTTCACATCAGCTATGCTCACTCAAATGAGGACCAGTGTCTAGGGACCCTGTCCCCTTGAGGCCCTCAGCCCTGCAGCAGAGCAGGCCCAAGGAATCACATATCCAGGTGAAAAGTCTGGAATTCAGTGTCTTCCTCAGTGGACCCCAGCAGGGAAAGGTCTCATCCAGACCAGAGAACTCCCAGCCTTCCCCCACCCCTTCCATTACCAGGATGCTGGCAGACCAATATCTAACCCCCAGGAGGACCCTAAGGCTGCAAAGCCACCCGCATGAACCCATGGATTCCACAGAACCACAACCCCCCATCACCACCAACCCAGAGATAAACTGGAGGGTCCTGGAGTAACACAGTGAATGGCCACAGAGCAAAAGCAACTGCCCACTTCCAATCCCTGTCCTTCTGCCCTGACCCTTCAGAAACTGGGGATACCAGATACAGCCTTTCTGAAGGGAAGGACAATTTGCAGAGACCCAAATGATCACTGTCCTTTGCCCTGGAACATTATCTTCAAGAACAGGCATGTGTAACATTTGACCTATAAGGATGTGCATAAGAATGCTGTGCTGAGGAGGAGTTTGGGGAGGCCTGAGGCTGGGGTAATTTGGGGCTCTGTAGCAAAAGTGTGGTAATCTTATGGTGGCCCTCACCTCTGGCAAGTTCCATGGCAGGCCTGTGCAGTTAGAAGGCCTTTTCAATGAAAGCAGTATAAAAGGACAGGCCTTCAGGGCTGTCTCAGTCCTCCAGAGGTTTGAGTCTTCTGTGATCCTAGAGTAAGTCAACAAGTGACTTACAGGGATTGTGCTACACACAGGGATTCCAGTAAGTCTTGCTCCCTACTGAGTTTCTCTTAAGTCTCTCTTGCAGAAATTACTTACCTACCTGGTATGGTTGCATAAGTAAAAATGTTTCAGAGGAAAGGTAAAAATAAAGTGGCTTCAACCTCTTTTTCTGGCCCTATAAACTTGAGAAGTCCCTATGGGGACTGTAGGCATAGAGTGTCAGGAGAAACCCCTCCATGAGAACATGATCTAATCTGAACATCTTAAGAACAAACTTGTATACAAATTATCTCTTGTAACTTTTTCCTTGAAAAGGAGGCAGAAAAAGAATGATTATTCCATTTTATAGGTGAGGAAACTGAAGCTTGAAGAGAATGGAAAAAGAGAGCTGTCCCACACCACAGGGCTGGGGTGCCAGGTTAAGAATAGAAATCAGATTTTCTCAAGCTGATGATCCCTGTGGGGAGTCTGTGCACACCCTAGTCCTTGTAGAGCACATATCACCATGCAAATAGCTCAATGCCTACATGTGTCAGTCCTTAACCCTTCACTGCTATCCTGGAGCCAGTTTGGTCTAAGCTTGGCTAAGCTAGAGGTCAGAATAACCTCCCCTAGGCAGCCTAGGCAACTCCTACCCTCTATCAGCCTCCTGTTCCTCCCACCCACAGGCACCAGGATGCTCTTCCCTCTGTCCATCCAAACCCTGCCAATCTATTATAGACCAACACAAGAAGCATTTCCTGCCTGGAGTTCTGACTGCTCCAGATCCCTGGGTTCTCTTTTCCCAGAAAAATCTCAAAATAATAACAGCAAGGAGGCTCCAAGTTACCAAGTGCCTACCTGGTGTCAGGCTACACTGACACTGAAAGGCAAGTACTCTCATCATCCCCATTTTGAAACTCAGGAAATGAGAAGTTCAGAGAAGTGGAGTGACTTGATCAAGGTCACACAGCAAGTAAGCAGACAGCTGTGACTCCACTATGATCTGACTCAAAGCCCAGTGCATGGGTCCCCCGGCTGCTCAGGGCAGGACAAAGCATCTGACTGTAGGCTTATGGGTATGTCCTGCCTTAGGATGGCACGGTTGTGACCCCATGGGTGGCACAAGGTAGGACTTGGGAGACAGGAGATTAGGGGGCTGACCCAAGGGAGCCTGGGAGTTGGGTTCACCTGTTTTGTTCACCTGGGTATCCCCAGCATGCAGACCCACAGATTATCAATGTAAACTGCATGAGAGAATGAAAAAATGAAGGAGTAAGAATGTAATTATTTTAAAGACACAAGCTTATGTTGCTGCTCGGTGTAAAAGCTCTTCTATGTCCACTGGCATGTTCTTCAGAAACCCAGGCAAGCAGGGAAGAATTTTTACCCCCATTCCACAGAGGAACAAGCTAGGCCAACAGTGAGGCGCCCGGCTCAGCCCACAGGGACGAGAAGCAGGAGACAGCACTGTGTTGTTACAATGGCAGGCATCAGCTCCTTAAGCTCAGTTTTCCTTGTCTATAAAATGGGGCGAATGGACTGCCTTGCCCTGATCCTGAACTGTGTTCACTGCACTGGGCTGCTCCTCCTCTTCAATTCAATGCCAAGTTTAAGCTTTCCAGGGTCCCATAGCTGGGGTAGAGCATCCTCTGTCATTTTAGGCCCTGGACAGGAAGGGACCACCCCCTAACCTAGGTGGGGAGCCAGACTAGCCTGCACAGCCCCTGCCTGATTTTTCTGCACCCTTCTCTGGCTGGTCCTGGGGAGTTTAATGACTCAGTCAATAACCCTGGCCTACTATATGCCAGGGAGGGGCCAGGGCTAAGCATTTCCTGAGCTGTGTGAAGCATCAGGGACATTGCTGGTGCTCACCAGCAGCCTGTCACATGAATCTCATGTGCTTCTAAGGTGAGTATTCCCTGTACATGCCTGGGCCCTGCACAAGAGGGTGGACCCTGGGGAGAGGCAAGGAGATGACCAGAGCCAGGCTGCTCAGACCTGGCACAGAGAGAGGGTGGAAAGCAAGAGAAAGGCACCGTCAGATGTGTGGTCAGGACAGGTGGATGAGGCCAAAGGCTGCTCCTGGCAGAGGTTAACAGTTGAGCAGAGGCAAGGAGATGGAAAAGCTCATGGGAATCTTGGGACAGCGATCACACCTAGAGCCAGATAGTGGTGAAATGGTGAAGGCCACCTGGGCCAGTGGGCAGGCCCTCCAATGCCATGCTAAGATGTTGGGATGGGGTGTTGGGGTCAGAAGGTACCAGGAGCATGCAGGCCAGAGAAGCAATGAAGCAGAGGGGACGCCATGGTCAGGGGAAGCATGAGTGCCAGGTGGGGCTGGGGTTGAGCGTCCATGCCCAGTAGGCAGAAAGACAGGAGGGCAATCAGGCAGAAGAGACAAATGGGGCAGGGTCTTGCACACCAGAAAGAGCTGAGAGCTTCAGGCCTCAGCCCTGACCCTTGCAGTGAGACCAACAAGTTATCATTTGGGTTTTTATTCTAAAAGATGAAGAAAGTTGAATGAGTGGACGAATGACAAGGCTGGAGCTGCTCGGGAAACAGCTTCCTGATGACAGCTGGCTGGTCTATCTGTCCAACCATCCATCCATCCATCCCAGACACATCTTCTGGACCAAATCAGGGACCAGTACTGGGGAGCCTGAGGGAACCAGGAAACACCCTGCTTCCTAAGCTAAGCAGAAGCAGCAGACAAGTGACCTGTAGGCTTCTGGGAGAGCTCCCACCATGAGCCTTACCACCCACCTCCCCTGGTCAGAGGTGATAGACTGCCTTCTGTCCTGTCCCCCACAGCTGCCTTGCCATCTGGGCCCTTGCGGCACTTCCATGTCTGGGCTTACCTTCTTGGTCTCCTTCACAACTTCCCAATCCTTGCCCCCCACCAGCTGGGCTACTCAGGACGAGGGAGGAGCCTCCCCTCTCCCCAGGCAGCCTCTACCCTCTGAGACCTTAAGAACAGGCCAAGCCCAAGCCTCCATCTTCAGCCCAGAACCCTCTTTGGGACTCAAGCCCAGCTCTTCAGATGCCCCATCCCTCCCCCTGGCTAGCTTACAGGCTGCTCAGCCTCAGCAGGCCTGTGCTAGCCTTGGCCTTCACGTGTGGGGTGCCCCTCCTCCAGCTGCCCCATTTTCTAAGCAGGACATCCACCTGCCCAGACGCTCTTGCCACAGATGCAGTGATCTGCAGCACTCCCTACCCCCCAGCTCAGACCCGCCACCAGCCATGTCCTTGGGAGCCATTTCCAAAATCTCTCCAACCCACCCACTCCTCTCCACCAGTCATAGCCACGAGCATCTCACCTCACCAGGAAGCAGCCTGCTTTGTTTGCAAACCCAGTGGGCCCAAGTTCAAATCTTGGTACCAACTCACCAGCTGTATGACCTTGGGCAAGTCGCTTGCCCCACCCTCCAAGTAAGGGATTAGTAGCCCAGAGCCTAGGCCTGAGCCCACCTGCAGAGGGCCATGGAGGACTTCCAGGGGCAGGGGTAGGGGTAGGGGCAGCGAGGCCTGCCTTGGGTCTTAAAGGGTGAGTGGGAGTTAACCAGGCAAAGACGAAGTAGGGACATTCCAGCAGAAGCTATACCTTATGCAAAGGCCACAGGCAAGAAGCACACAGGGTGTGGGGAAGAGTACAAGTGTCCTGATGCCCACTGGGAGATGCGAGAAGAAGGTGATCCCTAAGGCCCAGGCTGGAGTCTGGACTTGTGGCAGTAAGTGACGGGACAGAATGTGTGGTTTGGAAAGACCCCTCTGTCTACCACATGTGGAAGACTCTGGAGAGGCCAAAAGGGAGATAGTAGGGGGCCCCATGCAGAGACCCTGGAGAAGGGAGCCCTTGAAGCAGGGGCTGTCTTGGTTGGGAGGAAAGGGGCCTGGTGACTTGGTAGAGCTGGAGGCCAGGAAGCATGCAGGCTGCCCCCACAACATAGCCTAGGAGGTCTCTGGACACTGATGCAGACAAACACGGTCACAGTGACATGCAGACAGACAGCACTAAACCCCAACATGGGACAGCCATAGACCTGTGGCCATAAGCAGGCACCAATGGGGACCCAACAACTGCCACAAGCATGAAGCCACAGCCACCAAGACAAGAGGCTGTGTCAGGAGGGGCACTTAGGGTATATAAGGTCTTAATCCCCCAAAGAACAACCCCTCATTGACAGATCGCAACCTGAAATCACAGGCTCCTTACCTAGAAGGTCCTTTCCCACTTGGTGAACTTCTACTCATCCTTCAAGACCCAGCTCAAGTGTTCCCTCTTCTACGGAGCTTTCCCTGAACCCCCAGTCAGTCACTTCCTCTGTGTTCCCAACAGCACCTTGTATATGGGAATAACAATAACAATAATAACAATAAAATGGCAGCTACCATTGAGTTTAAAACCTATGTGCTGAGTATGTTACGACTCAAGTCACTGAATCTTCCCCATGGCTCTATGAGATGTGCACTTAACAGAAGAAACTACAGTTCAAAGAGGTCAACAAACTTGCCCAAAGTCACACAGCTAGGAAGTGAGGGAGTTAAGATATCAAGCAGATCTGGTCCAGCCCTACAGAGCCAATTGTTTTTCTGATAACTAAGTGTCTTCCCCGCCAGAATCCTCACAGGTAGGGACTGTGCTCATTTGTCTAGGCCAGCATCTAGCTCAAGGAGGTCGGTCACTCACAATAGGCTGGGAACTGTGGCAGGAATATTTACAGCCATTAGTTTACTGCTATAACAGACCTATTGTACAGATGAGGAAACTGAGGTCCAAAGAGGTTAAGCAACTTGCCTTTAGGTTACAGAGCTGAGTCTGGATTTGAAAGCAGGTCTGGGCAGGGGGGTAGCCTCTGAGACCAGACCAGCAAACTCCAAAAAGGGGTGGAGGTGGGGACCAAGGAAGAAGTGCACCAGATGCCAGGCCCTGACACATGGGGAGGTTCAGACAGATGAACAAAAAGAGGGAGAGACGTCCAGGGTGGGTTGTAAGGACCTAGTCCACTGCCATGCAGGGGGAGCAGTTAAGCAACTCTGTCCCTCCCAAACCCTTGCCCATCCCACAGACATTAAAAAGTCAGATCTGCCCAGTGGCCACATGGGAAGTAGCTCCCAACAAAGCAAGTGGGAGAAAGCAGGGCTCACACCACCCGGACACTTTGATTACAGGAGGCAAAAATAAAAACCTGCGTCAGAAAAGCAAGCTGTGGGGAACCACGCCCAGGGGCAGGGCCAGAGCTGGTTTGGGTTTTTGTCTTTGTTTCTCTGATTTCCAAATTCTCAATAATGTCATTCAGTTGCTTTTACAATGACAACAATAAATTTATTCTTAAAAATTGAAAGAAGACTGTTGGTAGCCTGAGGGGGGATGGACGCGGGGTTTTGGAGGCAGGAGCGCAGGAAGGTCAGGCTGACCATGGACGCCCCACTGACAGCTTCATGCCAGGCCCTGCCAGTCCCATCCTCAGACATAGATGATTGAGGTGGGGGTGGGTGTCAGGAATGGCAGTCTGCTCTTGGCTGGGATTCCAGGCTGGAGGGAAAAGAGGGTCTGTGCCCCTTCCCCTGCTCTGGTCTCAGCTATTCCAAAAGCCTCCCCATGGGCTTTCCTGGTTTTACCCTCCTCCCCCACCCCACTCTCTTCCTGAAGTCACTGTGAACTATAAATCAGATCACCCTAGCCTGCTCAGATCCTTCCATGGCTTCCTACTTCCTTCTAGTCTGGACTCCTTAGGCCCCTGCTGACCCCTTTGACCTCACTGCTTGTTCTACTTCCATTTGTCCAGCCAGAATGACGGGTCTCCCTGTCCCCCACTGCTCCACTTCCCTTCTAGCCCTCTCACTTTCAAGCGGGCTACATCCTCTTCCTGGGGCTCTCTGCCCTCCCCATTTCACTGGCTACTTCCAACTTTTCCCTTGGGCCCCAGTTTAGGAGCCACTTCCTGGAAGCCTGCTCCACCTGGGCTCTGCTCCCTGTGTACCCTGCATTTCCATCATCAGAGCACTTCTCGCTCCACTTTTCTGACTGTTTCTCACCCATCTTTGCCACTAGGCATGCGTTCAGCCAGGGAAGGAGTCATTTACCTTTTAAGCCCTGCACAGGATTGGGTAAATGAAAGAATGAATGAATGCTTAGGCAAAAGGAACCAGAAGTGCCATTTCCTGGATAGAAGTAAGCCCCTTCCCTCCTCTGAGCCCCCTCCACCCTTACTGGCATTATGCTCCCTCTGTATCCCACTGTTGCCTGTTTCCTATACTTGAGCACTCTCTTCCTAACTGATCTGAAGAGGGCTGCGTGTGCTCTGTAAGACCTAGCAGACCCCAAAAGAATTGTGAACAGCTAGCAAACATGGCCAATGGTTCTACTTCCCTAGCAGTAAAAAGTATATGAATCTCATCTGTCAAAAGAGCAAAAAGAAGTAAGAAAATGGTAACACCCAATACTGGCAAGGATATTGTGAGATTGGCACACCTATGCATTATCAGTGGGAGTTTAAACTGGAACAATCATTTCTGAAAACAGTCTGGCCAAGATGTGTCAAGAGCTCTAAAAATATTCAGACTTCCTAGCCTAGTGATCCCATTCTTGGTCATCCAAACCTAGAAAATAACCCAAAGACAGACAAAGTTACACGCACTAAGCTATTTGCTTCAGTGGTTTTTTACAATAGCAAAGACTTGGAACATCCCCACGGGGAGATGGCTCTGTAAATCATGATCCTCAGTAACATAGCCTATCGCTATTGATAACAGCCAGGGCTGCTGGCACTGTCACAACTCATTTAACACTCTTGTCAACCTACCAGGAATCAAGGCACACAGGGATTAGGGAGCTTGGCCCAAGTCAAGCAATGCTATGGGATTCAGATCCAGACCACTGGGCTCTGCAGCCCAGACTTCCCAATCTTGACAAGGGGGTCACTCTTGACAAGATAGGGGTCAAAAACACCCTGCATGCTAGGTATGGTGGTTCATGCCTATAATCCCATCACTTCAGAGACTGAGGCAGGAGGATCAAGAGTTCAAGGCCAGCCTGGGTAACACAGCTAGACCCTGTCTCAAAAAACAAAAAAGGTTCAAAAAAAGAAAAAATAAATAATAAAAAAAAATTAAAAAACAAAAAAGGCACCTTGAGTCATTTAGAAAATACAACAGTTGGGGAAAAGGGGAAGACAAAGAAATTTTATGTATAAATAGAGCAATGACATCTATATAAAAACTGAGTGCCAAGAGAAAAGAGGGTTGGAAAACACCCAAATGTTAACAGTGGGGGTGTTTGACTTATTTCATTTCCCTATTTCATGGCTTTTCTTCAGGGTGACTAGGTGATAGTTTTAAGTAATATATACTACTTGAACCACTCTGCCAGCCCTTTCTTTCTTTTTTTTTTTTTGTATTGAGTATTTTCAAGATAGGGTCTCACAAACTATTTGCCTAGGCCAGCCTTGAATCCTCTTGATCTGCTTCCTGAGTAGGAGGATTACAGGTGTAACCAACCAACACCCAGCCCCTTTAAGTAATATTTTTAATAGAACTAAGTCTTCAGCAAGCCTTGACAAAGCCTGGCCACGGTCCCTCAAACTTGTGGGTTTACCAAGGGAGGGCTAGGACTTGCTCAAAGTCCCTCAAGGCCCAAGCCTCACCCTCAACCCCAGTCAGGAGAGCAGTCAGGGACTCCCGTCCCAGCACACTGAAAATTCTTCTTGGGCTCCCACTGCTTTTGGGGTACAGTACTAATTCTACAGCAGGACACCTAAGGCCTTTGCCAAAAAGGCTGTGCTGGCCACATGCATCCCAAATGGCACCCCCAATATACCTATCCTCCATCCCCATACCTCCTGCAGGTCCCCACACAAGCTGCCCTCATGTGGCAGCCTGTGCCACCCATCTGGGGGCCTCCCAGTGGAACTCTGCCATCAGATCTCAGCTCTAGCGTTGCCCCTTGGCTGGATGGCCAGTTACTTCTCTGACCAGCCCCCAGGTAAGCTGTGAGCTCGAGGGCAGGCTGCTCGAGGGTAATGCTCCTCAAACCCCCACTGAGCTCCACAGCCCTGAGGCTCTTCCCTCAGGTCTCAGCTTAGAGGCAATATTCTGACCTTTCCCCAGGAACTCAGTCACCCTGTTATACACTCCCAGGCCCCCTGCCTCCTCCCGTCTCCCCATCAGCCACAACCCACAAGAACAGTGCTTGGCAGCCAGAGCCAAGCACTGGCCACACATGGGAGGGGCTCAGGTGTCTAGTACACTCCTGTTCTCAATAAGCCTCTGAGAGAAGCACTGAGAGGATGGATCTTTTCATCCAAGGGAGTCAGAGGGTTGGGGAGAGCATTCCTGGCAGAGGGCCAGCATGGGGGAAAGCATGGCAAACTGCTAGCTTCCAGGGAGAACAAGTGCAAAGACCTGGAGGCAGGGAGGCATACAACAGCATGTTTGGCTGGAGTGGGCAAAGTGCAGAAATTCACAATGGAGGCAGGGTTAGTGGCTGGAGCAGTTCATACAGGGACCAAGCCCCAGGCCAAGGTGTCTGGATAAAAGGCTTGGGGGAGGGGGCTGAGCAGAGGAGAGATGTGGGCAAGGTTTCCAACAGGTCCGTATGGAAACAGAAGGATGGCCTATAGCGGACAAGGAGGAGACTGCAAGAGAGAAAAGCTGAAGTTTCCCATCATCTCATCTTCTTGAGACACCCCCCCACCCCCTCACCCCACCCCTGGCTCAAAGTCAACCTCCCACGGCCCCTCTGCCCTCCGCATGTCCCCACTCCATGTAGCCTAGAGCCCCAGCTGCTGCGCCCACCCCACCCCCAAGACCAGGCCAGCCTTAGAAACCGGCTCCTGGGAACTTCCTGTGAGGCACGAGGCCCCCGAGGGTCCTGGATCCAATTAGGCTGGGTTTCCGCAGCCCTGTGGGGCTGGGAAGGGCTGTTTTCATTGTGATGGCGGAGCTGATCCTAGTGGGAAGGGGCTGCTGGCTGCGCCTGGTTTGTGGGAGTTGCTGCCCTATCCCTTCCTGACCCTCCATCTTTTCATCCTCTGGGACCCCAATCTACCACCACCCAGAGACACCTGGCAGTAGATGGTCTCTGGGCTCAATGTCCTCAGGCTGTGAACACAGGCCCCTTTCTACTTCCAGCTTTCCTGGGGAGCCCCAGCCCCCACCCCAGCAGGAAAGGAACTCCTGCCAACCCAGAATGAGGATGAGAATGACAGAGACCAAGCACTTCCTCCAGCCAGGCACCTTAGATGCTGAGTGGGAATCTCACTCGACTCCTATCACCCTGGTGAAGTAGGTGCTGTGAGCACTTTGAAGTACGGCACACACGCAGAGGGTGCTTAGAATATA